TAAAATATATTTTAAAAATGTAATTAGGAATTTGCTTTATCTGTAAAGTGTAAAAATCTTCCTCCAGTGTTTCAGAGATGCATTATTAATGTGCCAACTCTTTTGAAATTTTATTTTGGGAAGTGACTTTGTCTAGGTTGCACAACCACTTACTGCTTCTGGCTTATGAAAATGAGAAACCTAAAACTCCATTTTCCAACTTTTCTGAACCAAGTCAAGTATAACTATCATCTTGAATACAACATTGCTTTGAACAAAGACAAAATTGAAACACACTGTAATAAGTGGATTAAATCCACCAAATTGTTATGTCTTGAATGCACTTGTATATTAGTCTGTATATGTACGCAGTGTATTCTGCTTACTGGTGTATTATGAATGATGACCAATAAAAACTTATAAATATGAAAAAAAAAGTGTAAAAATCTATTTTTTACTGTAAAAAGATGAAAGAAGCTACCATTATATCGTATATAATTTGTAGTTTAACCTGCTTGTGTTGAACATCATGTTGAACTCCAAGTCGAGAGGTCTGCCTAAATTCTGGGCATATGGAGACGATGTGCTTGTCAACTGAATTATTTCAACGCCGTTATAATCAAATTTTAAAAAACAATGTCACCCCCCCCCCCAAAAAAAAAAACATTGGAAAAGCATGTCATATACTAGTATCACAACCATGTTGTCATTAAATTAAAAAAGTCGATCGAAATTTACTTTTGCAAAATAAGAACGAACGGACAAATATCAGCGACGTCGGCGAAAAACAAAACTTTAGGAAGAGGTGTACAGGTATGGCGTTTCTAATTTTATTGGTCGCTTGGTTTTACAAATTCAGATCAGTGTCTGGAAATTGTGACCGCCCGAAAAACGGCATATTATTAGTCTGAGCACAGTCCCTCTGGGATAGAGACTGTGGTCTGAAATTGAATGTACCTTGTATCTAAGAGAAAAACATAGGTTGATAAAAATGTTGTTTTAATCATTGTTTAATCGTCATTTACGCGGAGTAAACTGTGTCGCATGGAATCAGTTGCGTGTAAAGCAAAATAAGATTGTTATAAAACTCGGACATTATACACGGGATGAGTACATTGGAACTCAGACTAGTAATATATAGTCTTGTCTATGACTGAAAATAAACAAGTCAGGAAACGACACGTCATATTTTGGTTATGTGCACTCTTTAAAATCGGCCGTATTTTAAAACCAAAACTATGAGAAATTATGATACTAACACGTCGATGCCTTAGTAATATTATGGATATTCTGAAATACCATCTGAACTTGAATACAATCGTGCAAATAAAACAAATTCGGGTGACCTCGGTGATAAAACATCGCGGTATTACAACTTTCTCCTTGTCTCAAGGTCATGCACACAATGTGTTAATGACATATGAGAAAAGACGCTTGATTGGTCGACTTGCATGCGTATCGACCAATCACCATTAATTTATTTAATGCTCTACTTTTTCTTTGTGTTTTTTAACTAGTATTTTTTGTAATTAAAGTCTCTTTGAACTCGGTCTTTCGTAAATACCTAGTTATGTCTGCCACTTTATGGGGCTATTGAGTCACGGTATACCTAAAACGAACATGACCTACATGTTGCTAAACTGGATGAAAACAAAAACACACCGTAACCGATGTATCTAAGATCAGGCTTTGCAGTAGTTATCAAGTTGTAACAATTTGACACTTCATGGAGCTATAAAAAGATGGTCACTTCGCATAATAAAGACCATTTCCGATAAAAACCAATAAATAAACCCTGCTGGCGAAGAACGCCACCAGCGACAAGCATGGTAATTCCGAACATACTACAGTATTATTGATGGGACTGATCATCTGAATATTACAAGTAAACCCCATAACCGTGTGTGTGTGCGTGTGTGGCTGATGTGAACAAACGATCACAGGCTAAAAACAATCAATATACATGTATATGTGGGT